GGTCGGTATCATCCAAGCATTCACTGGGATATTTCGTATTATTACAGTATTTTTTCGGTGCTGTTCTGGAAAATAAGTTGACCATGGGCCCAAGAAAGCTTCTAGTGACAACCCTACACTCAAAGGGTAAGAATTACATAGAAATGAAGAAAGGATAATTGATAATATGAAAGTGAGGTGGTATAGCCGACCTAGTCAAGCTGACTACAAGAAACCCAATCAACCACGTATATTGTCGGGCACCAGAAAGGACAATCAAGGAGCTGTTCTTGCAAAGTGTATCAACTGTGTTTCGAAACAAAAGAATCGCAAGTGATGGAAAGATGTTGGAAAGACTCTTATTGGTGTGGATAAATGAAAAACAGCTAGCAGGAGATAGCATCTCTCAAGCGATCATATGTGAAAAGGCTAGGAAGTTGCATGAGGATTTAATTAAAAAAATTGCCTGCAACTTGGTTGATGTGAGTGAATTTAAGGCCAGCAAAGGGTATGGTTTGAGAGATTTAAGAAGCGTAGGTGGCATCCCATAGTGTGATAAAGCATGGTGAGGCTGCCAGTTCGGACCACAAAGCGGCTGAAAAATATGTGCAGGAATTCAAGGAGTACAATAGAAAACTGAAGGGACTGAAACCTGAACAAGTGTTTTAATTGTTATGAAACAGGCCTGTTCTGGAAGAAAATGCCAAGCAGGACTACATTATCAGGAGAAAAGGCACACTCCCAGGGAACATAAGCCTATGAAAAGGACCGGCTTACTTTGTTGATGTGTGCCAATTGCTACTGGTGCTTGCCAAAAGTGAAGCCTTTTATTAGTGTATCACTCTGAAACTCCAGAGCGTTCAGGCAAATGAACAAGAATGTCCTCTAGGATAATTTGTGTGTTGCTGTGGAGGGCCAAACAGTAAGGCATGGGTCACTGGGAATTTTTCTATAACTGGTTACACCAGGCATTTGCCCCAATGTGAAAAAATACCTAACTGAACAAGAAATTAAGAACTTAAGTGCCTTCCTGGTGTTAGAAATGCCCTGGTCATCCTACAGACGTGGCCCAGAGGACTTTATGGGGACATGAGCTTCATTAAGGTGAAGTTTTTGCCCTCCTAATACTCCACTCCTCTCCTGCCAGCCCAGGGACCAGCAGTGTTATTCCAACTTAAAAACTGTACACAAAGCTCTGTTTGAAAGGGTGATTTTTGTTTGCTTTTTAGTTGCTTTGATATTGCTTGTAATGGACCTCAGAAACTCAAACTGACTCTAAGAGGTTTTGGGAGAGATCACTTTAATATCCTCAATTGTGTAAAACCTTATAGGTGGGCTTGGGAGGAAGTGACTAAGAGGAACTTGAAACTCTGCTTCGGAAGAAACTGTGGCCAGAATGTGTAGAACAAAAGGGATTTTGAAGGGTTTGAGGCTAACCTGAGAATCCTGTGCCAGTTGAGGAATCCATTGTAGGCATTGGGGAAGTCCTTGGGTTGGAGGTTAGTGGGGGAGGATGTGGAGTGTTGGTGGAGGAGGACATATGAAGAACTAACACTGATGAAGGGGGGGGGCCTTTTTGAAATTTAGAACAATTTCCCAAACAAACTTTTTTCCAAAAGAGCAAGAGGCCAGACCCTGGGGAAATGGTTCAGAGGAGGGGAGAGAGAATTGAAGAAGTTTGCCTACTACAAAGATAAGGAAATCTGTGCTAAGTGGCTTGAGTTGCAAACCTTCATGGATGAAAAATCACCCTCACACAAGACTATTGACAAGCCGTGCTGGTGATTATTACATGACAATGTTGTGAAACATTTAGCAAGTCATAAAGGAACGAGAAGGTACAGGCCCTATGGAAAGATATCTTGTGCGAAAGATAGTCCAGTGATCTGAAGCTGGCCCTTAGTGGCATTAAAAAAAGAAGGGGGGGAGTTAACCCTAAAAGGACGTACAACTCAAAGTCCTAATGGAAGGGGATTCCCTTCTAAACAGTTAAGAAGATAATGTCTCCCCTCCTTCCATCCTCATCATCAACCAGATCCTTCAATAAAGGAAGTGTCATTTAATTGTGCATGCCTTTTCAGTTTGTGTGTATAAATAAAACATTTCATGTGGTAAAAAAAACTTTTTTTTCATACTTTTGGGCGTCTTGCACGGATTAATTTGATTTCCATTATTTTCTTATGGGAAATTCATTCGCATAACGTTGATTTCGCATAACAATTATCCCTCTTCACGGATTAAAATCGTTTTAAACCGGGGGTCCACTGTATCTGTGGCCCCCCCTCTTATAAACATGTACATCCTGAAGTCTTACTCAACGTCTTTTATCTACCAATACATAATCCATAAACTAACTGTCATTTCGCCCTACTCATTTTCGTGTTATACTTATTATCCTCTTTTTTTAAATATGTATTACCTATAACTAAACCCCTTTATATACAAAGTTCAATCAAAGGGCTCCCATTATATTTACACCTGGCACCCCCAACTTACCTACCACACCCTCTCTAAAAGTTTCTCCTACTTTAGCATTCAGGTCCCCTACCACAATTACTCTCTCACTTGGTTAAAGGCTCCTATACATTCACTTAAACATCTCCCAAAATCTCTCTCTCTCTCTGCTTCCTCCTCTTCTCCAGGTGGCATACCAGCTTATATGACCCACTTCTCGCCATCAACCTTTACTTTAATTCCACATAATTCTTGAATTTACACATTTCATTATTCTCTTTTCTCCTTCCATAACTGATCATTTAACATTACTGCTACCCCTTCCTTTGCTCTAACGCTCTCAGATGCTCCGATTTAATCCCATTTTTTATTTCCCCCCCACGTGAAACTCTCCGACCCTCAGCTTTTTTCGCTTTGAGCCAGGACATCCAACTTCTTTTCATTCATAAACATCTGCATCATCTGTTTTCATTGTCATCCGCATACTTCCACGCACATTTAAGCCATCCAGTTTTATAAAGTTTTTCTTCTTCTCTTTTTTTAGTTAAATGTATACAGGAGAAGGGGTTACTAGCCCATTGCTCCGGCATTGTAGTCTCCTCATACGACACGCATGGCTTACGGAGGAAAAGATTCTTTTCCAACTTCCCTGGGACAATAGAAGAAATAAAAGAACAAGAGTATTTAGAAAAAGGAAGGACAAACCTAGATGGATGTTATATATATATGCTGTGCGTGGTGTCTGTGAAGTGTGACCCAAAGTGTAAGTAGGAGGTAAGCAAGATACCCTGTTATCTTAGCGTGTTTCTGGAGACAGAAAAAGAAACCAGCAATCAGACCATTTCATGCAAAACAGTTAAAGGTTTTTGTTCACAGTATTATGGCAGGACGGTAGTACTTCCCGGGTGGTGCTGTGCATAAGTATGTTCCAATTAATAATTGTCCAGTGTGTTCTGAGAATTATTAGAAATGCTTTATCACAAATATATAAAAGAACCAATATACAGTGCACTCTTCTTTCTTTTTAAATTATTTATTGTGAAACCATTTATGGTGTTGATAGGAGTGGCCACCTCTTTCAATTTTTTATATATTTATGGTTAATTACTGGAAATACTGCTGTTCACACCCACAAATGCTACTTTTCTAAGTAATCAAACATAAACAATTATGTCTATGCTACACATTCCATGAAGATATTATTACATTCTCAATACATACAGCTTGCTTGTATTTTGGCATTTGTATGTGGTAAAACTTTTATATCTTGAAATATAACTGTTATTCCTAACTATACAGTATATAATGAAAACAACCCACACTTCCATCTAAGCGGTGGGTCCCGCTGCGGTTAGCTTCCGGGTAATGATGTTAAAACTGGCCAGTTCCATATAATGGTGGGCCCCTGCTTAAACAGCAGGTTAGCTTCCGGTGGTAATGATGTTAGATCAGCCCCGTTCCATATAATGGTCGGCCCTGCTTAAACGCAGGTTAGCTTCCTGGGGTGGTAATGATGTTTAAAACAGCCCAGTTCCATTAATGGTCGGCCTGCTTAAAACAGACGGTTAGCTTCCGGAGGTAATGATGTTAAATCAGCAGAGTTCCATATAATGGGTCGGCCCTGCTTAAACAGCAGTTAGCTTCAGGGGTATGATGTTAAAAACAAAATTGATGAAAAAAAATGAAACATAGGCAGTTTTCACTTTCAAATGATATAAAAGCCTTGATAACTGTTTACAATCTCATATTTATGAACAATCCAGCTAGGTCTAAAAAATAACTTACATTCTCTCTCACTTAGCAACATCTCGTTTACTAATGCTCGGACTTAATGATGGGCTATCTGACCTGTGTGGATACCTAATAATGTATTATTAGAGCTGATTTCTCTTATCTTTATTTCAATAACAGTTACATTATTGTATAAACAGTTAAAAATATACCAGATATGTTATAAATGGTGCAAAGATGGTTGACACAAACTCACTACTATTATAGTATGATCCTCACTTAGCGACGAATTTGTTTAACAACGTGGTCTCAGGAACGGAACTCTGTTGTTAAGTGAGGAGAGGCTGTACAGTACACACAATACTTACCTTAAAATACTTTTTGTCCTTAGCTTATAATGAGTGGTAAATATATTTATTGTATGAAATCTGAATAAATAAAGAATTAGTATAATTGAAAACTGCTGCATTAATGAAATGTCATAAAGCAAAGTGCTGTAAAGTGGGGCCTGCCTGTACTATATGGTGCTCAGTGTAATAACATTAACCACACATTGATCACAAATATGTTATGACTTTGCAAAGAAATGATTTGTTATGTTTAGTAAATTTTTTCATGGAACTCAATGAGTAACATTGATTTCTTAACATTTATTGTTTGGTATGCATAAGACAAAAGTAGAGCAGGCCAGTTCAGCGTTAAATGCTTGTCAGCTTCTGACTTAAGTACAGTATAATTATATTTTTGCAAAGTTAATTCCAAAAGATAGTGATGCTAATTGAGTTTAAAGTTTGGCTATGTTTTTTTCTGCATGTACACGATTTCTCCTCCTGAAGGGAGAAACAAGATGACCATTGCAAGACACTTCCTAGAATACTGTGAGAAAGCCAATAAAAGAATTTATGCCAGCAATTGGTGTGGCTTACACATCCATTCTAGGCTCCTCTACATAGCAACTGGCTGGGTAAATATTGAAGTTATTGTTCAATAAAACTGTAAAAGAATTTCAGTGCAGACAGATTAGACGTTCAAGATTACATTATTTTGTTGCATATACATACCCCATTTTGTATGTCTATTTATGTCAGCTGGAGACAAGTAAAATCAAACGTAGATCTACGTTCGGAGTGCTACACGAGCGAACATAGATCTAAGTTTGGACAGTTTAAGGGTTAAATATTATATTGTAGTACGTATGCAGGGTAAGCAGAAATTATAAGGTTCAAATTAGTCATAATTGGGGAAGAAAAAGAGTGGTTAAGGATTGAACGTACAAAGTTCCAGGAACAAAAAGAGTTAGAAATGTTTAGGGCTCAAGAAAGTAACAAGGAGAGGCAGTTTGCTTCTCAACAAGCCACAATAAAATAGAGTAGTAGGTATTTAATTTGGACAGAGTCATAAAATTTGTGCCAAATTTCCTAAAGATGCAGAACCAGTTTTTCCTGTTGTTTGAAAAAGGTTTTAATCCCAAATGGGCCCGGACAAAAAAAGGGGAATTAGGGAGAAAAAGGGGG